AGATATTCTAATTGTCTCCAAAAGCCATGATATTTTTAAGCATTTAGACTTTAATTACTTGACCAGGGCTAGGGAGGATGAAATGCCCCTCTGCAGACAGCAAGTGCATGGAAGCCTTGCTTAATTTGTTTATGACTTAAAATTGTCATCAGATTTCAAGTTGAATTTCACTCACAGGGGGATAGTGGCAGAGCTAAGTAAGAAAACATCCTCTAGTTTCTCTGTTCTCCCATCTGCCTAGACAGACCCGGCTATTCATGCCATGTTTCTGTTTAAGTAATTATGGAGGCCTGCGACTGTTAACCGATTTAATGATATCCAGTTTTGCCATCTTTTTTAATTAATTTTTTGAGACATTGTTCTTGGTCAGGTGTAAGTGTGGCAGCAAGCCTGTTAATCAGCCAGGCACGCTAACAAACAGGTGCCAAAGGGATAACAAATAAAGGATTAAAAGTTATCCATCAATATGCCTACCTTCCCCCAGACTTGCAGTCAGAATCTCTCAAAACAATAGAGGGGGAAAAATGGGGAAAAAACTAGGTATTTATTTTGAGTGTATTTTGTCCATGAGATTTACGAGATCTTCCCTGGTACAATATCTGTGCCTTCATAAATGGTTTGGTTACTCTGCGAGATCAAAGAGTGTCGTCCATTCATCCCTCAAGTCACTGAGAACAATGAAAGGAATCGAAGAGAAAACATGAAGCATTGGAAATAGGAGGGTAGTTTGTGTCTCAGAGCTATTTTGTTACAGTGATCATTCTGCAGTAGCTTCAGAAATGACAAGCTGCTCATTGAATCCCACAGAAACTACGAGACTGAAATGTCTTAAGATATCCAGGGGCTAGAGGATAAATAAGGCAGGGCCAGCTGTTACATATAAAATGACTGTCTCAGCAGAATACCAGCATTGTAAGGCCCAAATATCTGAGCGCCTGGGAGACAAGAAAGTGGTTCCCACTTCACGCATCAGTCAACCAGCCTCCTGGCTAATTAATCCTTGACAAATGCATGCCCCAGGTATTTGGCAAGTACCTGCAAAACAGGGTTTATGAGGAGGAACAGTCCCTGCATAATATTCTTTTGAACACAAACCTGCAACCACTGGCACTGGCAACTGATAGCACAAGTCACCTGGACACGTGTAGCCTTCAAAATCATAATAACCTATGAAATCTTGGTAACAGAGGTGATCTGTGGAAAGCTGATGGGCTAAAATGACAGCATTCAGGTGACGTGACAGCTCTTCCAGCCTCTGCTGCAAGTATGCACAGCTTCTCAACCCTCAGCTGAGCACTTTGGAAAGAGAGAAGCCTCTCTCCAAAGCTGACAGCAGCAAGTTTTACTCAACAATACCAAGCAGAAGTAAGTCATCTAATGGCAGGTACCTGCTGGGATGCATCACACTTGTTTATAGAGATTGTAATTATTACAGGGTAACTGCTGTGCTTTTAGTTCTTGCTCATTTTGTTTTGGCTCGTCTTCTCTGATTTACATGCAGAGCACACATCTGTAACGCAAACAATTGTGTGAGTTATAGGAAAATCTTAAGTGAACAGCCTGTTTTCTGGTAAGTGAGGCTGCACTCAGAAAAGTATTTCTTAGACAAAACCATGGTATTCTTCAGCTTGCTTAAGAGTTTTCTATCACTTGCTTAAGAATTTTCTTATCAAATATGGTCATTTTTGCTTCTTTTTAATAAAAGGTTACTGAAACATCAGTCCTCCAAACTGAGCACTGTGTGTGAATGTCAGCACTGTGATTTTCATGCTGACTATATTAGTAGGATTCATACCACCAATCTGTAGGCACAGCTGGCCTTGGCTGCTCTTGAGGTCTATCTAATCCTTGCTCAATCTGTGACACTCCAGTGTACTTTGGGGTAAGAAATAATGAAGACCACAGTACACAAACATAAAATAATCTGCCCATCTCCCACATCAGGTCTCACTTAGCCTGTATACTGAAGCTCTTATCCTCCAAAGCACAAGAAATTGAAATCCCTTCTAAAATGGATTCTTTATATCAACTCTGGATGATCTACAGCAACTTTGTGGAGCAGGGAATATTTACACACAGGAAGGGAAGGCATGCACTGGGCCTTGTGAAGGAAGCTGCGTGAGCAGCAAGACAGTCTGAATTTAAAATAAACACAACATTCCTCATCATCCATTGCTCCGTTCCTGGGAAAGCAACTTGCAAAGTCCTGACATTTTCCCTTCGCATCATCAGTACCATCATCAGGCAGCAATAATATTGTCAGCAGTGCCGTTAACCTTCTACAGCCTTGGCTTAATGGTGCTCGGAGCCAGATCCAAACAGAGCGCAGCTGCCTGAAGCACAACCACACCACAACTGAGGTGCTCAAATTCAAGCACCCATCCCTGTGAAAACCCTCCTTCCCCACTGTAAAAGCCAGGACCTGCTGCTGTAGGTACTGAGGCTGTCCACGTTTGTGGGACTCGACGTGCAGTGTATTGGCCTCCCCCGTGGGCACTGCAGTCCTGCTGCCGCTTTTTTCCTTCCGCGGGGCAGCAGCCGGGGCCGGCAGCACAGCCCAGTGCTCGCCAGCCCCTGAGGGTGCAGAGAGGGGACGTGATAGAGGCCTGTGCCACCTCCATCTCAGCCTGCAGAGGTAGCTTTGCCTATCAGCTGGGCAATGGCAACCGGTCGCTGCCCCCACTAAGAACAGGACCACTTGGGAGAAGTCCCCTCTGCTTCTCCCATCTCCCGTTCCTGTTGGCACTGGCAGATCAGCTGGCTGCTAGTAGGGACAGTCAGATGTGGCCTTAAGCACGATATACGTACGCATGGGTAGCTACCTAAAGAAACTTGAGTAGAAGCTGATTTTTCCAATCTCGTATTTCCCCGCCACCGTAAACTTGGCTGAAGCTGGGCTCCTGTACAGCTGAGAAAGGCTCAGTGCAGGCCAGGAAGAGAACAAGAGAACAAGAGAGAGGAAAGAACCTGCCCATGGTCTAGGAAGATGGGCTGTCCTTGGAAAGGGGACAGGCAGCCCATGCTCTAACTTACACGCCATTTTGCATGAGACAGCACATGGACAGAGTAATAAACAAGCCAAGTCCCTTTGTGGAGTTGACTACTGTTTTAAAGCACCAAGACTGCACAAACAACCCCCCCTACTGGGATTTAGTTAATTTATTTAATGATGCAGAAAGAATATAACCCCCATCTTCCCCAGGCTGTGATGAATCTTCAGGCTGATAGATTTTATTTTGCTTAAGGAAGTGAGCAACATTTTTCAGAACTGAAGCAATTTTTGAGGCTCCCGATATACTTTTGTTTACCTCTTGTATTTAAATTGCATTAATCCAACTCTTGAAATTATATACATTCTGATGGAAAGCAACTGCCAAGGCTGGTAACTGGCTGTGAGCCATTGCTAGAGAGAACATAAAGGGCTGGACATGGTCTTTGGTCTGAGCCAGTGCTACCATTCATACAATTCGCTCTCCTGGTTGCTCACATCCAGACATAGCCCTTAAAGCATCCCTTAAATGTATCACTTAAAACTTTATAGTGTCTTGGCACTTCTCTGCACAAAAATCAGTCAGTAGCTCTTAAAAGACATTTGTATCTTCCTAGAAGTTAGGCAGGTGGGATTGTCACAAACCAAGCAATGGTGGTCATATGTAATGTTTTATCGCTACTACTAATTTTAATTTGCTATCATTAATTTATATTTAATGTGTAATACTGTTGGCAAAATAAAAAGAATGTAGGTGTGGTTGTTAAGGCAAGTGCAGTACCTCAGGTAAGTCCCTTTAAACAGGACTTCAGAGCCCGTGAGGTTATTTTTAGCCAACGTTGACTTAGCATTCATCAGTCATTTTTTACTCAGTTGCAGATTGTTGTTTAGCATGCTGCTGGCTTTTCTATCTCCCTTCCTTCCTCTCTCATTTCAGATTATGCTAGTTCCTCCTCAAACTTTTAAAACTTATCAGCTCCCTCACATGTCTTGCATTTGAAAATGAGGCTGAAAACCACATGGAAGCCATACTACCTACTCTACTGCAGAAGCTGGTCATTTCTGACTCTTGTCTACATCCACTGACTCTCTATTTGGCAAAAGTCAGCTTTACCTTTGAGCCTCACACACTGTGAAAGCTACGTCTGTGTCGCTTCCTTGTAAAGTACGTATTTGCAGTTGTTGGCTTTGCTTAAATTAATGCATTACACTTGAACTGCAGAGAACTCATACTGCGTATTTTGTCTCCCTAAGCATTATTTGGCATTATAAAAGAAAGTACAATTTATACTGCAATTAAAAAAGAAAAAAAAATCAGGCTATTGATTTGAGCTTCCATTAAGCATATGTCTGTGCAAGAACCAATGCTACCACTGCTTTCAAGTTTGAGCTTTTATTCTAACTGTGAAGAGGACGAAGGAATTAAAACAACTGCAGAAAAACAGGAAAACCCAACAATCACTCTTTTGGCAGTATAGCATGTTGCTGTATATTTCATGGATTTTTTTATACTGCACCTGCTCATCCAAGGTGGCAATATTTATAGTGAGATTTTGAGAAGTCTATTGTTCTAATTAAGGACTGTGCTCATAACCAAACTGGTGACTGAAAAGCACTGAGCAAGATGTTTGTGAGATGGTCTGATAGTAGTTACCAACCTCTGTTTCCACTTCCCTCACTGCTGCACTCCAAGAACTTTGAAAGGAAAAGGAGAAGGCGGCACTTCACCAGAGAACAAAAAAGTCCAAACCATTAAAAAAATAGCACAATTTTGAGGAAAAGGAGAGTCTGGCTTCTTTAAAACCAAAACACCTTATAATGAGAATTGTAAATTAATGTTAATTCTAAGTTGTTTACTCTCTATGTAGTCCACCCAAACCCTATGCGCCATCTAAGTACTACTTGAAAGAGTTGGAGAGAAAGTTTAAAAAAAGTACATGAGCCCTGGGCTGCTCCTTTGCAGAGAACAGCATTTTTCCCAACAAGTATTTGTTTTCTTTAGATGATTTTTGTATTTAGGAGGAAAAAAAATATTAGTGATCTCAAAAAGATTCCACAAAAAACAAGTACATTCTAGTATTTTCAAGCACTTTAGTTCAGTCTCCCTACTTTTTCTTGCTCAGAGAAGATGGCAGAAATGGGGGAATGAAGAATTGTGATTCTTCTGGTCATGCTTAACATGCCATCGCTACTATAAAAACACTAGGTCAGATTAGCATTAGTATAATAATATAGTATTAGTATACATTAGTATATTCCCTCTCTTGGGAAGGAAGAAAAAGTCTGGAAGAGAAGCCCTTGTTTTATTGAAATACAAATATAACAGAATGCAGATCATACTCATTTCTCAGCTGTTAAATAAATGTCTAAGTTTCTAAAGAAAGGGCTAAAAAACTGACAGCATTCTGGAATGGCAAGGTAACAGAGCCTTAAATGAAAAAAAGGTGGTAGAGAAACAGGGACAGTAAAAAATGAAAGTAAACGTGAATGGTTTCTGAACCCCAAAAGACATAACGAATTTGTTTCTAATACCCCATTTCATGTTTTCACAGTAATATTCTTCTAACAGATGGCTCCTTGAGCCATAATTGTCTGTCTTTGAAAGACTATTTGAGACACTTACATCAATACAGCACTGTGTAGAGGATGTCATCCAAATCTGGTCCCCTTTGGAAACATCCAACTTTGTGGCATGTTATTAATTATTATGGGATAGAGATGCACTATCACTAACATTTGTACTTTTCACTGAAAATCCTGTAGTATTTACTGTTTCACCTATAAAAAGCTGTTTCTTGGAACAAAGTGATTATGTGACTACCTAATTTTTAAATAAAAGTGCAGGCACTCACACCTGTCTGGTAATGTTAAATGTTCAAATACAATGAAAAATTAATAACAACATATTTCTAGGGACTAACATTTTCCTATACTAGCAAGTATGTTCTAAGACTGGCTGTTCTTCAAGACTGTATGGAGCTACTGTAGCAAAATCAATCAAAGAATAGGTAAGGCTACAAATACAGTCTTCCTGGGGTCCTTTAGGCAGAAGTGCCAAAACCTGGTGAACATTATTTCATTCACTAAGAAGTTATGCAAAAGTTGTCATCTTTGGTCCACCATGATCTGAGTGAGGAAAGGTTTAATGCCTCAGAGGACTCTGTTCAGCACTTCTGGAGAGCAAATTTACACAAGGCGGTGGGTATTATGTCTGGGAAAAGACCTTTAGACAGGTCTCTAACTTCTTTTTGTTTACAATATTTTCTTCTCAAGAAATTGTCATCTCATCTCAGAGAGACAAGCATCCTTTCAAAACAATGACTTAATTTCCCTGACTCACTGGCAAAAACCAAAAGTGGCTGAAGTGGCAGACTGAACTGCAAGTGAAACTAAGAAGTCACAGTCCTCTTTTGAATATTGATTCAAACCATAAGCAAGCCAAAAAGTCCAGGCAAAGCTGTAAATCAGATTCTGATCCCATCAATATCAGAGCCACCATTCAATACTTCAGCCTGTGTAACTGGTATTACAATACAGACAATTCTCCTTTAACGGCAAAAGAAGCAAGTTTTCCAGCAGAAATCTTCACAGCACGACAGGGCTTTTGCTAAGCCAAGACTGTTTTCCAAGGTATAGTGTTTAAGGGTTTGTTTTTTGTTGCTGTTTAAAAAGTTTTTTGAACTCTTATGGCTTCATTTGTGATCTTGGACCTGTGAAGGATAATAGGTTGGGAGAGTATCACTGCAGACAGACAACTCCTCAGTTCCAAGCTTCAAGTCAGCCTGCATCGGGTTGGATTCACCCTTCAGCGCTGTGCAGTTTCTCAGCTGCAGTTCTTTGGTGAAGCAGAATTCAATCTGACCAATCGTTTGTGCTTTTTCACCCTAGAAACATGAGGGATGAGATCAGTTTGATGGGGAGAAGAAAATAAATCAATTCCTCATATATATTGCCTTATCTATAGAATACAGTAGTGCTTATTTGTACATTTGCCACTTGAAAAATGTGAAGGATACAGGTACCAGAGGCATCCACTCTGGACAGCTTATAGTACGTACTTGTCTTTAAGGAGCAAGCAGTCAAGGAAACGTGTTCCAACAACATAATTCAGTAACAATACAGGGAATCTGCCTAAGTAGTAAGTCTCATTATGAAATGCTGTGACACAGATTATCTTAGCATTTACCAAATCTGCACAGTACACAGAAGCTGTTCACCTTAATGATGAGCTCTGGCTGAACTCTGTGAATATTGAAGGGTATGTGTGACCTGAAAGCCACCTTTCACCAACTCTTTTGTAGCAGAATGGAAAATGAGGCAAAGAAAATTCTCCAAGAAGGAGAAGAGAATCTTGGTTTTATAATAGCTTTTACTGAAAAGAATACAAAAGCAAGCTGTCAAAAGTAGCAGAAGTGTCATTTTTGGACTACAGGACAGCCTAGGAATTAAAATATTGAACGTTTATTCAGGCAGGCAGGCAGGCATGGAAGCCTTTCATGTGAGGAAGAAGATTATACAAAAATCTCCCAAAATGCTCAGGTGTGACAAAGTGCATGTGGAAAAAAATTGGTTTTGAAACCACTAAGCAGGACAAGAATATATGTACAAGACAAAAGTAACTGTGGTAGGGTTTTTTTTGTTGTTGCTTTGGTTTAGTCTTGGGGTTTTTTTTGTTGTGGGTTTGGGTTTTTTTTTTATTTATTTTGGTTTTAGTTTTTTTGTTGTTAGGGGTTTTGGGGGTTTTTTTTGCCCCCCTTTTTTTTTAAAGCATCTTAAGAACACAGCAAGTGTATAATATGTTTTAAACATGAAAGCACCTCCATAATGCACTCCAGGCATCAAGAAGGCTGGAACTCTGAAAAGGGCTATCTGTAAAAAAATGGGGTGTACTTTTTCCTTTCTATTACCCATTAGCTTCAGCTGCTAAGCACAGGAGACTCAAGCTGTAAATTACCTTCATTTAATTTGAGCACCACCCCAATTGTACTAAAAGCAATGGCACAACTACAGTGAACAGAGCTAGAAACTGCGGTTTGTGTAGCTCTGTATTTCTTCAACATCAAGAGATGGATGAGTGTGCAACCCACATTCAACTCATATTCCCTTGTTGCTTAAAGTAACTTAAAAATACATTTTAAAAATATTGTAACCTAGAATTCTTTTTCACATGAAGAAACATCCCAGTATAAAAACCTCAGAGCACCACTAAAGCAAATGAGCTGACAACACACAAGCTATTAAACTCCAACAGCAACTGTATCTTGGCAAGTTTTCATAAAATTGTTGTCTCTCTATGGGCAATAAGTCTGCCAAGTGTTTTGTAGCAAACCACTTGTATCAAGCTAAGATAATAAGGAACCACTTACAAGAGGTAAAGCTATCTTGTGGGTTTGGTTTTTTTGTTTTCTTTTTGTACAAAAACAGCGTAACCCAGCTGAAAAAGGAAAGAAACAGCTATGCAGCCTACCCATGTAATTGTTCAGAATACTATTTTGTTCCTTGAAAGGCATTTTTGGTTCAGGTATGGTGACCTGTATTTTATGCTACAGCACACTGTCTCTGTGTACCACATTCTCTACTGCATTGTGATTCACAGTACAATCGTTGGCAAGGAAAAGTAGAAAGAAATGGAAATTTTAGACACTGTTGGCTCAAAAGGAAAAACTATAGCCATCTTGAACCACAGGGAAGCTCAAAATGCCTTTTTGTACCTCTTTAGGTACAGGCTTTTGAGAACAACCTCAGAGACAAGCCTCTGAGCTGCTTTTTTTCTGAAGGATTTCATCCATTGAGTAACTTCTTCATGTGGAACACGAGCCTTGCCCAGTGAAGGGAAGAGTGCTGTTGACAGGCAGTACCCTTGTCAAGGATGACAGTCACTGGCTCCATTCAGCTCACTCTTGTTGGTTCTAGTAATTTGCTATATGGCAATTAAGCCTTAGCAAGAGGAGAGGAAAGTACTCAGCTACAGCAATATCTCTAGCGTGGTACTTACAGCATTCATGCAAGAGATGCAAGTTCAAATCTTTTAAGACAGAGAGACCTTTAAAACCCAGTGCTCCCACTTTCTGGGTAAGAATACCAACAGTAAAGTTAGTAGGTAAAGAATGGACACTTCCTCCACTAACAGTATTCCGGCGTTAAGAAAAGGCTGTGGCAACAGTAACATAAGCTGCAAAGTGTGCCAGTACATAAGCAATGTTTTTATGAACTCAACTCTAAGAATCGAGCAATATGTAATCTGCAAAGAGCTGTACACACAAGGAACACCCAGACCTAAGTTTCACCATGCTGAAGATTTTTCACTCTATTTTTGCTTTTGTTTTTTGATAAAAAGTACTCCTTTTAAAAAAAAAAAAAAAGTGGGGGGGGTTTTTGGTTGGTTGTTTTTTTGTTTGGTTTTTGGTTTTGGGGGTTTGGGGAGTGTGTGTTTGGGGTTTTTACCTCTTCTGGAGGAAGACATTGGATCTTTGGCGTTACCCCATAAAACCTTGTAAGAGCTTCCTTTATGGCAGTCATCTGAAGAATTAAAAAGCTTATATAAGTTAATAAGTCACTGGTACATTTTCCAACAGCTTCCACACTTGTTAAGTTCACAAAAATGTTCAGGTAAAGCACAACCTTAAAGAACTATACAATTAAAAAAAGATCACTTACTCTCTAGAAATTACTTGACTCCTGCTGAAAAGTAGTACATGCACATGATTTTGTTTTATAAAAGATTGCCTCTTACCTGGTAATATGAACTGCTTGGCTTTATCCCAGCTTTCAGGAGACAACTGAAACAAAGATAAAACATTTTTCCATGGTTTATGTATGCAAACATAACTTCATAATCATTAGGTAAACAGATAATCTTAGTGAGAACTTGGCAAGCATTACAGTTATGGGGAGCAAAGGAAACTTGTCTTCCATCCTCTGCCAGGCCTAGGAAAGGTTCCACTCTTCTGAAAGGCCATTTTCCATTCAACTTGGCAGGGCCAGGAAGAACCCTCTCCCCCACCTTAATCTGAGGAGCTGTGAGAGCTGAGTCTTCAGACACAGCTCAAGGAAAGGGCAATATTACTGTTATTTGCTGGACCTTCAGAACGCCCTGTTGAGTGCCAGCTAGGGCATGAAGTTTAGTTACCTCCTTTCCCCCGCCTTGAGCCATACCCCTGTGCTCAGGCCACCGGGAGGTGATGGAGGCAGACTTGTGAGGCTTCTCTCGACACCCTCATGTTCTAACACAGGGTGGGCTTGCTGGGGTGGGAGTCGCACAGCACACTGGGAGAGGGACATGGTGCATGAATCTGGAACAACATCAATGCCAGTGCAGAAATGTTTCCTAATTAATATGTTTTTGAAGAGGAAAGGTTGATCACATAAGAGAAACAAGGTAACTCAAGAACCTCTAGCCTGTATACCCCTTCCTTTAGATTTGGTCCTGAGGGAAGTCCACACTTCCAAGTTGACAACAAGACTCGGGACCCAGAGTCTGTAAGTCCCAGCTTCTTCCATAAGGAGTGGGAATGTTCAGCATCTCGCAGGGTTTAATTCATGAATGCTGATAGTGCTCAGCCCTTCCAAGGTCAGCTTCTGCACAGCTGAGATTTAACCCAGTTGACTAAAGGTGTAGCTGTTTGTCATAGTCATTTTAACTGGATATAAGGAGGCCAATAAAATAAATGATGTTCTGTTATTCTTACAGGAGCCTGCATAATGCCCTCTTTTTAGTAATTTCCTTTTTGGAAACAATATTTTAATCACTAAGACTACTTTTTTGCATTCAAGTATAAATGAAGTACGATGAGAACATTAGCAGTCTTTATTCTTTTAGTAAAGATTAATTTAATTATGTTCATTTCTACAATGGAGAATATGCCCTGAGCAATTAATTTCAACATGTTTCAGTCTCTCTTCTTTTTTGGTGTTACACATGCTGATATGGAGTTACATAATCGGTCACTGTGCCATCTGTAAAATGTTTTAGTCACACCATTACAGCTACTTAGGCAATTGACTTATCAGACATTATTAATTTTAACACTACATATGACATGCTCTTAAGCACTGTGTCTAGAAAAATCTGATTAAGTTTTATAAGACACCTACAAAAATAGGAGAGGAGGTGGAAGAAAAGATATATTTCCTTTGTGCATATGCAAAGTTAATGAGTCTTTGTTATGAGATTCCTTGGACAAGTCACTGACAGAACACAAACAGGATTTTTAAATTATTTTTTTTTTAAGGTATGTTTCTAGATACAAACGAACTTATTTCCTCTCTCAGATACTGTAGTCTTCTACAGAGACACAATTCATGGTCAACAAATCCGAGCCAAACATTCTCCCAGCCATACCAAGCACGATCAGGAAAGGACTCTGGCCTTCTGGCATTCACCTGCAGCCAGAATGTGTACATACAGTGCTTGGACAAGCCACAACATTCCCATCAAGATTTTGTATCTGGAATGGCCAGTGCTTTGGAACCATGAGGAGGAATCAGCCTCTAGGACAAAGCAAGAGTGTCAGATTGGGGTTGTTTGAAAGGACAGCAGAGCGCTGCCTGCAGCAACTGAACACTGCCCTTCAGGACATCCTCTCTTGCTGTTACCTCTCAGCCTTTTCTCAGGATGTTCTGCATGATTTTGCCTGCAGCTTGTCCTTTCCTCTGTGCAGAGCACTGTCTTTTCTATAAACAAGTGTTTGGGCCTCAGTATGACTGAGAAGTTTGGGGGGGTTTGTCACTTGATTTAGACGTTTACAGGTACCATAGCTTTTAGTAGCGAGATATAGCCGATACAGCTTCTCAAAATTTACTGCTCACATTGTCTAAAATGATGCCATGAAGAATGCTGCTGGCTTACCAGACTCTGAAGTGACCAGAGACAGGCTTCTCAGAGTAGACAACCCTTCCTCTGAACTCCAGTACTAAAAATAATTTTATGCTAATACTCATTTCCCCTCTGCCATCAGACTTTTAGACTTTTTTTTTAGGCTAGATTTGAAACTTTTAGAAATTGTTTGAAAGAGGCAGGCCACTGAGTCATTTACGTACCTGTTAAGATCAACATGCTGGTAGAGTTCTAAGGCTTTACCAAAGTATTTCTTCTGAGAATTAAGGACCTGAAGTGTGGCTGCACAAGTGCCATGTTTCTCCCATTCATGTTTCCTATAGGAGAAAAGCAAAATTTAAGTTTCAGAAAACATAATTTGCAGATATATGTGCTGCACAAGCTAGCCAATATACCTAAATCAAGTATCTGAAAGGCTACATGGGTGAAGTAGCACACTGCACTCAAAAAATACTGCATGTGCAAAAAGGAAAACCAAGAAAGATCACTCCCACCATTTCAATTACAGCAACATCTATGTATTTTTTTAGTAGAATAATTTACCAAGAGATTTTGGACCTATCAGGAGAGTAAGGAAGAAGCCCAAGTCCCTCATTATGGTCTGTAACATCAAACCAAGGAAAAATTCTTTCAGACAGTAAGTTGTGTTAAAAATACATAAATGAGTTGGCCTTAACACTGGCAGCTGGAAGAGAGAGACTCCAAATTCATGTAAGAGTTGTAAAAGATAAAGGAGAGAATGGTCTAATGGTTTGAATATCGACGTGGGACGTTCAGAATCAATAATTCTGTTTTCCTATAAATTATGTATATGAATTTGTGCAAAAGTCATTTGAAGTTCAGCCCTTTCAGCCCTTCACCTGTTATCCCACCAAATGGTTAAGACTTTTCTCTGCCCGCCCCCCCCCGCCCCATCCACCACCAGCTATCTTTTTAGGATTGGGCATTGCAAGGTGAGGAGATAAGATAGATAGATACCGATGTGGAATAAACCATTACTTCATTCCAAAGCTGACTTAAGAGAACTTTGTGTCACAAGAGCGTGACAATACTTTATCAAGCTGAAAGTGCTGTTCGGGGGTTTCTCTAGATTAAGTTAGCCCAAATAGCTTGAGTATTTGGTTTTTTTAGCTGCCTCCTTTGAATCAGCTTGGTTTTGAAATAGTTAAATGAAGGAATTTATGAAGTAAATATGTATCATGCTGTTACAATACAAAGGTCTCTCAGTGTATTACAAAGAGATGTCTGGAGGTCAGAATGATAAGAAATGAATATTTCTAAACTTTGTATAAGTTTTAGTGGAGTCTTTTATGTTAAATGTAGTTTCAAAGCACTAAAAATTTTTCACAACTGAAGAGACTAACCCTTATTTTGGGTGGAACAGTGAAACTGCACAAACTGCTAGGACAAGACTGATGCCTCAACTTTTACTTTGGCCTGTGGCAGTATTTTCATAGGCCTGCTCTCAAGTCTTGCTTCTATTCCACCATCAAGTCTTCTAACACCACAGAACAGAGTGCAAAAGAAAGCAAATCTTGCAATTTTATGGTAGACAAAGTCAAATAAGACAAAAAATAGGGCAAAGCTCAAAATATATTTCTATCAGTTCTAAAGTCTATTGAAAGACTAAACAGTATAATCTTTAATAAGACTACCTGTGGATTTGGGGGTGGTGGTGGTGGTGTCTTTTCTTTTTTTTTTCTTTTTCCTTCTTTTCAAATTTTCACAACCCACTTGTGCACATCTGCTGAATTGATACCTATTTAGTACAAAAAGTTATCTAATCACAAATTCCTGCTACTACCACAGCACCCCCTGACCTTATGATGCCTTAAGAACCTCATGGAAAAGCAGAGAAGCACAAGGACAACTATTATTCACTTTAAAGCCTGCCTTTGAATTGTCCATTCATATTAAAAACTTCAGATTTTTCTTAAGGGATGAAAACACTTTAAAAGAAATTATGTTTGTATTTAGAGAAATTTGTACACTACTTCTGAACAGAGAATGAATAAAGCAACTGTGGTGTCGGGAGATTTGAGGGAGGGGAGAAGATGCGCTACTGGAAGATTTTCACTATACGTTCCCAAATTAACCTTGTAGAGAGTTCTCATGTTGGCTCTAACACTCAACTCAACTGCATGCCAAGTGAATTGTTTACTGCCTGGAGGAGTCCACTTTACATGGGCCAAAGAGCAGATTTCCCAACAAGGGTTTTGAAATTACTGATGAGAAAAGAGACTGCAGTTTTAAAGAAAATGGAAACTCTTTTAGGTGTAAATTTAGCAAGAGATACTGAGCAGTTAACTTGGACCAGAAGCAGATAATAGTCAAATCCAAAGGGCTACTGGAACAGCAGTAAACTGGAGGCAAGGCTTTGTATGCAGGGTGACAATTTTTCTTCAGATAATATATGCATGTGTGTAAAACTAATGGTAAAGTGTTGTGGCTGTCTTTTGAAGGCTTTCAGTAGTTCTTGTATTTAAGTGTCCTGCTGTTTCCAGAAAAATGGCAAAAATAGAGGGCCAAAGATCTGATGGTGCTCAAGAAGCATATTACTGCTAACATGGAACTGCCATTGGAGTAGTTTGGTCCAGTTCACACTGATCACAGGGCCCAGGCAATGGGTCTGTGGGGATCCCAAGTGAAAATACACGGAGCTACCCACAGACAGTACCCATGCATCATCAGCTGCAGCAAGTCAAGCATACACCAGGCCCAAGTTTTTTTATCAGTTTAATTTGTGAGCTTCCAGAATGGAGAGCTACTTTAAAGTCACTACAAAACAATTACTGAAACTTTAAGATGACACTCTTGATAGTGTTATTTTATTTTGCAGCACAGCTATATTAAAAAAAACAATGATGCAGATACAGCTAATTCTGACCATTCAGCACAGGCATATGAATTTTTACCTGCACCTCTTCCATTTAAATGCAAGCTGAAGCAGTTAGGAAATGAAGGAGCTGCAGGTACCAGGGAATAACATAAAATAATTTGTTTAGAAATCAAAAGAATTAATATCTCAATGTTATTCACTGAGACACATAATCCTTCACCTAGACCACAATAAGACAAGGTAATTCCACTTGAGCCTCAGCTCACATCTGGGTGGCATGTGGATACAGAACATAGCTGCCTGTATTCATGAAAGCCACCCATCCTTCTGTACCTCTTGTAGCCACGAGCTAGGCAGTAGCACAGAGCACATATGCCACCTGTCAAGAACTTTGCTGAACATTTTTTCCTCCTTGTAGAACACAAGCACTTTGGCAGGCACACAGGAGTGGTGCTTACAGCACTAGATTGGATTCCACTATGTAACTTGTCCTTCTCCACCATTTTCTCTATAGCGCTGCTAAGAATAAATGTCACACTTGCATACCTCAAAGCTAAGTCCTACAAATGAAATCTTAGGGGGCTGCAGAAATGCAAAGGAATGAAACTAGTATAACTCAGCTGTGTGGAAAGGAAGCTGAACCTCAAAGAGATTTTGTCTCCCGGTATGTCCTCTTTACGCTACAGAGAGGTTTGCTTTGTGGGTTTTTTTTTTTAAATTTTGAAGTACATTTAACTGAAGGGAGATGTACAATGGGATCTCACTGTCTTTCAGTCGGCTTAAAAGCTCGCACTTACAAAATCTGCAGTTAGAGCTGCCAATTACAGTGCACTTGGCACCTTACTGAAAGGGAATGAATTACACTGTCAATCAAAATATTAGTTTCAGTGTTATAACCTGACTTTTGTGATATTTCTAATTATATTTCCAGGTATTGAAATACGTGCTATTTGATAGCCTTGAACTGAAAGGGAAAAGGTTTTGATCGCATCTGTTCACACCTGCTGCCTACCAAAGTATCTCTGTTGGTAAATAAGGACTAGTATGCACCTGTTTTTATGAACAGGTAGGTGGTCAGGGCATGGGAGGTGCTAGTTCTACAACACATTTTTCTTATTATAATTCCAGGAACAGTTTAAGGTGGCATAAACTTGTGCTACCACAAAGAAGCAGTCATGCTCTCCCTGGCATAGCGCAACAGAGGAGTGGAGGGAAGAAAAAGCGAGACCACCACTTTTGACAGTTACAAGCTTAGGTTGCCATAAGACACTTGTGGAACCAGTTTAAGACTCTGAGGACAAGTGTCTTCCGTAGAGCAAGGACAAGACTAAAAGAAATGCACAATCCTGTCAAAGTTTTTTCCTAGTGACACAGCAGGGAAACAGTCATCCAATCCAAAGGAAAACTTATGGGCACTTATAGTTGAGATGGCTTTAAATGCTACTGCCTCTAGCTATGTGCTCTGCTTCTTATCTGATGTTACCACTTTCACTGTAGATCTGGAAGAACAAATTGCTTATCCGTACCTTGGCTGATGCAGCTCATGGCTCAGCAAATTAACTTGAATGGCCACTGAAATTAGTTTGAAATAATGCACTCCAACTGAAGCCTGTGCAAACTCAAATACCACCCATACTGCTCTTTGGTCCAAGTGTCTGATTATTCAGAACCAGAGAAACATGGAGAAGGAGGAAAACAGTACTGTTATCAGAAGAGATCAAAATGTCCTCCTCCCTTCCCATGAGCCAAGTAGGTTGATCTCTAAACAAATTCCCAGATCTGATTTTAGGCTGCTAGGAAAGTAAACAAAGAGAGAGAATTCTGTAGAGAAGTGGCTAGGATGATCCAATGCATCCTATTTTTCCATTTCGTTTTCTGTGAGAAAGCCCAAAAGGAAAGGTCTCTAAAGGACAGCAACACAGTGAAGCTAGCTAGGAAAAGAGGCCTGGAAGCTGCTTTTACAGCTAGCTGTGACAGCCCAGGAGGGCTACTGCTATTCAGATTTAATATGTCGACAGCAACTGCTTCTCCTCCCTGGGGACAAAGGGAGGAAACACGTTCTCTCTCTCTCTCTCTTTCACTAAGCTTCATTTCTCCAAAACCTGTGCCACAGTCCCCTCCAACAGCTGCATTTTGCAGGTGTTCTAACAAGAAACCAGATTTATTTGTAAATGAGGCTGACAAGACACACTGCTTTCAGTGGCCTCCTGGACACTGCTTCTCATGCACAACATCTCACCTGAAGAATTACTAACTCAGTTGTTTTTTTTTTTAAATAAAATAATATCCAAAATACTTTTTAGGTTTTTTTGTACTCACCAGAACTGGGTGCGGTTCAGAGATGAATGAAGCACATCAGGCCAATAGTGTCTCATGTCTGACAGAAGATCCTAAAAATTTCACAATCAATAAATGCAGCTACAGTGTTGAAAAGCTATTTCTTACACAATCTAAATACAATGATACACTTTCTAGAACTGAAACCTCATCTTTCCACATCTCCAACTGAAACATTTACTCGCAGAAAAGGTCTTTTTCCCCAGTATTCTGAAAATGCTGTTGTTGGAGGTAACAGATAGGTGCAACTATCTAAATATCTGAATGTACTAATACCGACACACTGCCTCAAAGTAAGATTTTTCCTTCAACTGTCCCTGCAGAAGTTTGTTCAGTCATGCAGCTTTTCACATTTGTCAGCTCAGGCCTCCTATCCCTGTTTACAACACATTTGAATGAAATATGGAAGTTTTTTTAATTAAAAATAAGAATAAAAAAGGACTAATGCCCTGGGAGAAAACACACAGAAAAACATACTCTGAACTCTTTTATTTTCTGTGTCCTAGCTTTGCACTAGAAAATGGAAGAGAGAACATGGACTGACTGTAACTTCTTTTTCACAGGTCCTTTTTGCCACTGCAGATCCACCGCCTACGTTCTCTAGATTTTTTAGAGGATATGGCTGAACGAGTCAAACCACATGTCTACAAAATCAAGTAGAAACAGCTGCTAATGATTACAAGCACTGCAACTTCAAGTAGCACCAGAAGCACCTAATAAATTTGCGGAGTCCTTAAAAGAACATACCTTCCAGCAAACATTAAGAGTAATACATGATAAGCTACAGATTTTACATATAGGATGTGCAAAAGTAATTGTACTCAGCTCTGCTTGGTATGACTATTTTTATTTTAAATAAATACCTTAATCTCGGTGACATTGAAATGCCATGTCCTATTACATTCTTCAGTTTTGTCAGGCCTAGGGAAGCAAAATAAAAGTGAAAAAAAAAGATGTCTCCTAACTCACTAATGGTAACTAACAGCATTCTATTCTGTATCATTAGACTGAATTTTAAATATGCAAGATTATAGCTAGAGATTTTATTTAAAAATGCAAGTAACCCATCAGAATCTACAGTGTTTTAGAAGTAAAAATTCAAGACATTAATTATGGCCGTAACATTTCCCATGTAGAGACTCTTCGTTAGGCCCTCCAGTCCCTCTCACTTTTTGTAAAAGTCATAGAGGGGGAGTAAATGATATGGAAGGATCTTGACCTCCTCAACCACTGCACCAAGCGATGATTCTGCAAGTATCGCCAAGACACTCACTGGAAATCTAGACATAATGCTGTTCACCTTTCCAGGACATACAGCTTAATAAACTCCTGTACTGAATTTTTACCTGTATTTGTCAGGAAGACCTTTGAATTTCTACCATTGGCACCAATTCCACTGATTTGATTCCTTTGAAGCAAATTAGTTTTTCCTGTACTTTTGCAATATTTGTGCTGAGTTAAGATACTTAAAGCTGCAAGCAGTCATGAGACATTAACAAATTCTGTGTACTCAGAAAAAAAAAAAAAAGAGAGGAAACTATACTTCCCTTTTTGTTTGAGAATACTACTGATCTTGTAAGGGGATGTATAAATAAAATGCTCATGTGGCAAGAGGATTTCAGGAGCTCAGCAAGTCATGAGATACAGAAGTGTATTTCAGTTTTACATCAAAATATAGGGTTTTGATTTCCAACAAACCAAGGGCTTTTTTTTTCAAGGAATCATAAAAACAAGATATATTAGCCCTCAAAAAAAAGCACTAAACATTCTGGTACAAAACTTGATTTTTCCTTTCCAGGCTGAAATAAAAACACTCTATGATCATACCATAGTCCATGGATTGTCCAGTACTCTGGAGGGTCTTGACAATCATTAGCGCTCATCTGTGGAAAACAAAAATACAAAATACGTTATATGTGTCCAAGGATAATGTTTTAAGAGGAAAAAATAAAAGCTCATTCACTGGTGGTCCAGGGCTCTACTGAGACATGAGAAGTTTTGCTTGCTCAGATCAGGAACTGGTGAACTCCAGTTACTTGAAGCTGTCACAGACTGTGCCACTTAGCAGAGACCAACTGGCATTAAACTTTTTATTTGCAGATCAAGCGAATACCAGGGGCATCCTGAACAGGCAGTGTAAAAAGAAGACAAAGGACAGGTTCTGAGGTAATAGAAAGTAGCCTGATCCATGCTAAATGAATGAAGCTAAATCTGCATTTATTATATTCTAGGTGGCAGCTCTCTGTATTTTTCTCATCATCAGATCTTTTCAAGGAGTGCAGAGCCATTAAAATAAAAACCATCCAGATAAACTATAATATTAGACAAGCACACAACGATCTTTCAGCATCCAGGAGTAGTTTTATTGTTGTATTAAAAGGGAAAAATACAAAGAAGAGATGAAATAGGTTGCTTATTCCAAGTAAAATGGTTAGAATGTATTTTTTAAATATTTTGACTTGAGGGACAAGGGAATAGAGAGAAGAGGAAAGACTATATACATTACTACAAAAAAAATGCCCCATTCAAAATTTTTGATAATGCAGGAGAAATAGCCTACACATTAATTATTGTTTAGAGCAGAGTACGTATTACTGAACAAAACAAAACAAAATCCATGTTCACACATCACAGAATACCATTACTGTATTTTCCCTGACCATTCTGCTTAGTAATTATGGCTCTTTATTAAACACTTTTCACCACTAAATAACAACCTTCTCAGACTTTTTTTCCTCATAATAATAGCTTTCCTTTTTGGGTCTGCATCCCGTCTTAATTATGCCACAATGCCTTTTACATGATGCAAGAGCAAAGTGTAGAGAAGAGCAGAGAGAGGCCTGTAATCTCACTAATTGCCTTCCACACGCCACAGGCCAGTGGCAGCAAAACTGCAAGCTATGCAAAACTTTCTTGTTCCATGCCCATTTCCTTTCTCTGCTCTCTTGCCACCAATAATAGAAGCAATTAAACCCAGCCACAACTTTTTTTCCTGAAAGGAATATTTTCAACAAACAGACACTGCAAACGCCTAAACAATATTGCTCCTGTCATGACACAAGCTTTGTGGAGCTGAAAAGAGTTCAGCTATCTAGCCCAAAGTACAGCAAATTAATAGCCAGCAGCTAATGCATCATTCCCTGAAAAACAACCTGACAGCTAACCAGCTCGCTCAACCGAGGGTGGTAACAAGAACAGTGCAATTGTGCTCCTCATCCAATCTTTAACTGCAGTTCTCAGACATGCTAAAGGAAAGCCTGGAGTATTTTAAATTTGGAATCAGTTCTCCCCTATCATGGCACTAACCGTATTAGCAGTTTCTCCTACACATTTCATCAGGCTCTTGGTGTTACACTGTGTGCTGGCAGAACTGCGAGGTCAATGCCACCTACAATGCATTAGTTCACAATTTGCATGCTTTGGCCAGCTTCATTCATTCTCCTTTTTAATTCTAGCCATAGCATTTTTCCAATGTTAATTTTAAATCAATATCATAAAATGAGCAAACACTAGTCTGAGAAGATGGGTACCCCTGTGGTTTGGATTTGTGTGGTGGGGTTTTGGTAGCAGGGCAGGGGCCGCAGGGCCGGCTCCTGTGAGAAGCTGCTGGAAGCTTCCCCGGCTCCAAGTCGGACCCGCTGCTGGCCCTGCTGGGGGGCAGGAGGTGGAGAAATCGGGAGTGGGGTTGAGCTGAGAAGGGAGGAGTGGGGGGACGGTGTTTTGATATTTGGTTTTACTTCTCATTATCCTGCTCTGATTTGATTGGTAACAAGTTAAATTGATTTTGTTTTTTTTCCCCAGGTTGAGCCTGTCTTTTGCCCGTGACCATAAGTGGTGAGTGATCCCTCCTTGTCCTTGTCTCGACCCTTGAGCTTTTCCACTTTCTCCTCCCCATCCCACCAGGGGGGGGAGGAGTGAACAAGCGGCTTCCTGGTGCTTTGATGCTGGCTGGGCTGAAACTAGGACACCCTGCTGCTTCTGCAAAAACACTTCTTGGCAGCCTTCCTGTTTATCATATACTGATTGCTGAAGGATTAATCCAACCTCAAGCAACGGTTGACTTGAAACAGAGTTACAAATGTGTATTTTCAAGTAGGCCCATTGGACCCCAGAAAGCCTTCTATAGCTAGATTAATTTGAAAAAGAAACATTGTTTTCTCCTGTTTTAAAGCAATCTGATAATGACACCAATCCAAATTAACCCTACGCGTTCTCTAACACTGAGAGAAGTGCCAGTGAGCCTTTCCAGCACCCACCATGCTGAGAGGCAACGCTGCAGCAGAGAGATTTGCCTATTTGTAATAGCAAGACATTGGACAAACAGCAGGTTCCAGAAGCACGGAAGCTCCTTTCACCTCCAAAATGCCAAAAAGTGAAACACCATCAAACTGTCACAGAAGTCTTACCTGTAGATTTGCCCAAATTACAAATCCTGTGATATAGCAGCTTGTACACAGGGGCGGGTAGTGCTACTGAATCACATACAGATACCCCAAGCTTAAATAAAAAGTCAGCTTCTGGGAAGTGAAATACTTAATCCTGCTTTCCCTTTCAATCTCCCTGTTTAATTAAGATCAATTTTAAGTGTTATTTTGTGTTGAAACATCACAACTGCTATGAAAAATCCTTGCTTTTGAAACTGTGGAGAGAGTTCATCTCTTCAATTTCTCTCCCCCAAACAGTGTGTAATTATTCCCCTTCCTCTTGCCCCCCAGCCCCTGGGGTAAAACCAATCAATGAATAAACCAGATTTATAAGGTTGCTGAAAAAATCTGGGAGTAGGGAAATAAAACAAATTTACTTCTTGATGAACACCTCTCTATCACGAGCTGATAAGCTAAAACCTTTCATGTGTTTATCCTTACAGAAGATAAGAGACGCACAAAACCCATATAAACCAGACTTATTCACAGAACAGTTCGAGGCATAGATTAAGAGTTATCTTATGAGTTACACTGGCATTTAGGAAAAAACTTTCTTTTGTTCCAAAATAGCACATGTCAAGAGCTGGACTCTCTTGGAGACACCTGGCTTAATATATAAACAAAGAAATAAAGGCCTCCCTTCATCTAAGGAACTTTTTGATCTAATGCTAGATCACAACAGTGTACTGCCCTCACTTTAGTCACTTTAATTCTTTCTATATTACATGACTACTTCTATTTTTACCAAAAAAAAAAAAAGAAAAAAATAGTTTCTATTCTTCCTTTAAGCCTTTGCTGTAAAATTACTGCCAAAGCCTGAAATTAGGAAAACCTTTTATCTCATACATAAAAAAAATAATTTCATCTGCTACTTAACACTACTTTCAAACCTGAATTCAGACTGTTCTGTTAACCAGCCTATTCTGTCATCTTTCCTTTAATTCTTCCATTTGATCAGCACATATGTGCAGTAAAAGGCAGATGACAGCAGGGTTTAGTACCCATTTCTTTATTATCCTTCCTATTCTCAACAGAGGAGGAACTGAATAGCCTACAAACTTGCACCAGATTTTCCCCATTTCACAAGGAAACACCCACATAAGATTGTCTCTTTTGCAATCTCCAAGATGCAAAAGCTGCAATAATATTTCTCTTCTTAAATTCTTGAATTAAAGCACAACTCCATAAAAAGGGAGGGGGAAAGTCCCTCTTCTTGCCCTTGAGTTGCTCCTATTTCCATCTAACAGGATTCATATTAATTTGTGACCAGAAAGTTTAAGTGACATGAAATAGCCACATGAAGTTCAATAAATTGCACCACAGGCACCATTTATTAAGGGAACGTTAAATTCATAATCACTTGAGGTCTGTGAATTTCGCTTTGGTATCTTTGTAGAAGACATAGTCACTTTAGGTCAATTATATGGTACTAGAATTTCTAATCACATGATAAGGAAGAACATCTCTTCCTCCTTCACCCTTTCACTGCAGCAGTCAGTAGTTAAACCCTGTGATTATTACTTCCATGATACTCACTATTTTATTTTAATAGGTTAGTTTAGAAGATACGATTACAAAACACTTACTTTCCAGTTTAACTGTGCTGATCACACTCAGTATTAAAAAGCACCAGATGAACACATACAGTTCAAAGCACAGGAAGAGCTGGGAGATGTGTATTGTCAAATTTCTGGCATGCTGAACCGTGCCCACTAAATTTTAAAACAGGCCTTTTAGGCCTTCAAAAGCCTGAAAAACTTTTTGAATACAGATATGCAAAACAGGCAGGAATTAAGATGTAGGTCATCCACACACCTATCAAGAACACAGTATGTAGCAAAGTATTCAATAATCAGGTTCCTTTATATAGGAAGCATAAACTAGTAAGTACTTGCACAAACTAGTGTCTCAAAGGTTTTTTACATAAATGATATAATGAGTTCTGTAGTTTCCTTCGCCTAGTTATTTTTCCTTTCAATATCATGTCAACAGTTCTAAGCTGAAGAATGATATTAAAAATATTTCCTCCCTGAAATAACATCACAATCATATATAAATACACTGAACATGAGAGGAATCTACGTACTTAAAAAAAAGGCCACAGCTGAATTTGGGAACTCCTCTTATGTTAACATTAGTAAAAAGAAAGCTGTTACAGGAGTACAGTTGAGATTCTGTTTCTTTATATGACACAGTGATGTGAAACTGGGCAAAAAGGCACTTTATATGATTTTAATTTCACTTTTTCTTCACTCTTTGGAATGCTTCTGTCCACCTCTTACTACAGAAGATCATAAGGAATCAATAAAGTGTAAGAAAGCCTACGTTTTCTGATGCTTAATATCTTCAATTATTCATTACAATTTCACTGGAAGGTTATAAAGGTTATCTGTCAATTTACCAATGGCACTACCCTGGAATGAAGAGTAGAAGCCAGCATGAATACACAGTGGGAAAACTGGTTGGTAGGGGTTTTTTGTTTGTTTGGTCTGTGGGTTTTTTTTGTTTGTTTTTTTTTATTTTTTTAATTGCTTGCACGTCATTCATGTAAGCAAGGGCTTGCACTGCTACTGACTCTGAATGCCCACTCATGCCAGGCACTAGAAACCCCTGAACACCAACACCTCTGAAGTCAGTAACTGTGATGTTTACTCAACAGAAAATCAGACACAAACTGCATCAAATCCACCCTTATTCCCACCCCCAAAACAGGCAAACAAACAAAAAACAGAACAGTGGCCACTCCTTGGTCTCAGTCATGCACATCTTACTTTTGTTATTGATACTTCCCCTCCACACTTAACTAAACTACATCTACTTTTCCTCAGAAATTTAGGCAGTATGTGACTTTTGCTGCTACTGCTTTTGTACATATTTCCAGAAATGGGAATGAGAAATGAAAAAAGTACCTAAAGCACAAAAAACCATAAGACTCCGATATTGTAATAAATAAACCTAAGTCTCCAAGATCCGGACCTTTTTGGCTCCAGAAACATCTGCCTGAAACTGAAGCTTCTCTATTGTCTACAGGGTTCTTCATCCTTGCGCCACTTAATCTGATCACACTTTCGAAAAGTATAGCACATTTTTAGCTTAGCTGTATGAGAAGAAGTCTTTGAGTATTTCCAACATATGAAAAATGTTCTACTTCTAAGATGGTAGTAGGTATTTAATAGCAAAAGGGACATAAGTAGTACACCTCTTAGTGGTGCTTTTGACAGGCATATGTTGGAAGGTTGGGTTTATTTTTGGTTCCCACCCCTCAAGTACAGAAATGCTCAGAGACACCTGCCATAAAAGCTTTATAGTCCTCTTTTTCCTGACTGAATCCATATTTGATGACTTATCACTAAAACACTGGAGCCAACATTACAAAGCTAATACTTGTTGTGCAGCAGACAGTTCAAGTACTAATCTGCTATCTGTCTTCAGTTAGACAAGGCAGGCAAGTCTCCTTACAGAGTCTGGTGAAAGTCTAGGCTTATGATTACAACTAACAAGACATCAAAAAATATGTAACAAGCAATTAAGGCTTAGAGTACAGCACGTCCTACACTGACTATTACATCTGCAACATATCACAATCCTGTCGTTTACTGCTACTTTGGAGTGCAGGTCAAGTAGCAAAAGTTGCACCAAGGTCAGTGAAAGCCTTTACAAAGATATAAGGGCATAAGCAAGATTAAATGCTTGATGGGCTTTGTTCATTCTGTTTTCAAACTTTTATTGTCTGAGGCTACATTTGTCAGGATAAAAGAGAACAAAACACAAAAATCTCACCTTACATACAGTCACTGGCCAATGATGAGCAAGATACAGCTTCTTCCAGGTATGAGGGTGGCTTTCACTGGAGAAAGATAGACAAATCTATTTTTCCTCAAGCATTTTAAAAAGACCAACACCTTCAGCCAGCAACAAGATGCTTACTAGTATAATACATTGATTATAGAGCTGTTTTTTGTCTACAGGTTCTATTGTAATATTTGAGAACTCCAAACACAGCAGGACCAAACTAACAAATCACACAGAAACAACATATTTAGAAACGTGCTAACACCCTCCACATTGTTAAACAAATTCAACTCCTGGCATTCTATCTCCATATGCTTTCCACTACTTAAATATGGAAGAAACATATTTTCTGTTTTATATTGATGAAAGTGCTTACTGGCAAGCTTTTACAACAATAATTTAAAAAAAAAAGATTATTTAGGATGTTAACAATCTTCTAATTCTTCTTGATGGGTATATTAGCTAAAAAGAAAGTATACCACATTCTTGGAACTGTAACTACTCTTTTAAAAAAGAAAGACTACAAACAACCACAAGCAATGTAGTTGACACTGCAGGAGATGCAATTTGATTTTGCAAGTGTCGCCAACATTTATATTAAAAAAAAAATCAGAATAAAAAGAAACGTAAAAAAAAATTATATTGGGTTTGCATGGCAAGGTTTTGGTAGCCAGGGGGCTACAGAGGTGGCTTCTGTGAGAAGGTGCTAGAAGCTTCTCCTATGTCTGACAGAGCCAATGCCAGCTGGCTCCAAGACAGACCTGCCACTGGCCAAGTCCGATCCCATCAGCAACGGTGGTAGTGCCTCTGGGAGAACGTATTTAAGGAGGGGAAAAAAGTTGCTGCTCAACAGAAACTGCAGCCAGAGAGAGGAGTGAGAACATGTGAGAGAAACAACCCTGCAGACACCAAGGTCAGTGCAGAAGGAGGGGGAGGAGATGCTCCAGGCACCAGAGCAGAGTTTCCCCTGCAGCCCGTGGGGAAGACCACGGTGAGGCAGGCTGTCCCCCTGCAGCCCAGGGAGCTCCACGGTGGAGCAGATCTCCACCTGCAGCCTGGGGAGGACCCCAAGCCAGAGCAGGTGGGTGCCCAAAGGAAGCTGTGACCCCATGGGAAGCCCGCGCTGGAGCAGGCTCCTGGCAGAACGTGTGGCCCCATGGAGAGAGGAGCCCATGCTGGAGCAGGTTTTCTGGCAGGACTTGTGACCTCGCAGGAGACCCACGCTGGAGCAGTCTGTGCCTGAAGGACTGCAGCCCATGGAAGGGACCCACACTAGAGCAGTTCATGAAGAACTGCAGCCCAGGGGAAGGATTCATGTTGGAGAAGTTCATGGAGGACTGTCTCCCATGGGAGGGACCCCACGCTGGAGGAGGGGATGAGTGAGGAGTCCCGCCCCTGAAGAGGAGGGAGCAGCAGAGACAAGGTGTGATGAACTGACCCCAACCCCCATTCCCCATCCCCCTGCACTGCTGGCGGGGAGGAGGTAGAGAAAATCAGGAGTGAAGTTGAGCCTGAGAAGGGAGAGGTGGGGAAAGGTGTTTTTAAGATTTGGTTTTATTTCTCATTATCCTACTCTGATTTGATTGGTAATAAATTAAACTAATTTCCCCAAGTCAACTCAGTTTTGCTGGTGATGGTAACTGGTGTATGATCTCTCCCTGTCCTTATCTCTGCCCACGAGCCTTTTGTTATATTTTCTCTCCCCTGTCCAGTCGAGGAGGGGCAGCGATAGAGTGGCTTTGGTGGGCACCTGATGTCCAGCCAGGGTCAACCTACCACAACCATAAATCTCAAAAATGCTAACTTTATTATTTTACAGACATCTAACTTAAACACTACATTTTGAAGCAGACCTATTCTGGATAAACTAGAAGTAGATAAAAAACCTGTTGCTTCAGACACTACAGCAGATACATTCGGCCACACTAAGTGATTAAATAGAACAGCAAGTGGGAAAACCTAATCAACAAAAACAGAACTGTAAATTGTTCAAACTGACAGCACTATGTGCAGTACTGTCAAAACAAATGTTATTCTCTGGAAGCTAATAGCCACATGTCCTTCATTAGTGCTTGCCAGAGGTTATATAAAAAAAAAATATATGAGAAAGCTAATCTTTCTCAACCCGAGGAAGTAGGGATACTCCCGTGTTAGATCACTTCTCAGTTTTTCCCCTCTAGTTTTGCTAATATGCAATGACCACATATTATCTTAAGCATTCATATGTATCTGTGGTTTTTAAATAATTTAGCAGAATAGCTCTGGAACAAATCAAGCATAGCCACAATGAAAACTATGAACACTTCTAACTGATCTTTACTGCTGCTGTGGAAACCTGAATAGAAGAATTCCCTAATACTGTAGAGCTGTTAGTTTCCTTGCTTTGAAAAAATCCTTGCTTAGAAAAGTAGCATCTTTCATCTGTATTTGAAGTAGCAGCTGAACTTCTGTAACGACAATCATGCCAAAACAATTTCTCCTAGAACACACCTTTTGGCTAATGATAGGTCAGAAAATTTTGTTTATTAAATAGAACAAGTTTTAGAAACTTAAGCTCAGAACTGGAATCCAAGGAAAGCCATTTTCCGTATCTATCCAGCTTCAAGGATATCTACCCTTTTTTTGACCCCAGTTATCCTGCTCTGTGCAGTTCAGCACTGTACCTACGTCTAGAGCTGCCTCTGCTGCCAAGATGGCCAAGCCATAGCCCAAGTCCTGGGGATTCAAGAAACCCCAGTATAGTGTCTAAGCTACCAACCAGCTGCAATGCAGCCATTATATGAAGTTCAGCACTGAACTGAGCACCCTTAACCATTCTCTTGCCAAAACACTGAAAGGAAGGAGAAAAGTTTATTTCCTAATATAATGCAATAGGAATTTGAGCTTTTACCACAGAAGGGTGTGATATGGGGTGTGGGCTCCCCCATGGCCAATTCATATTCAAGCCCAGATTTTGCCAAGTGCAACAACCACCAAAAGACTGCATGGCACTGATACAGCCCCAGTTAGGATGCTGTATGAAAAGGAATTTAAAATTATTGGAACTGAGAAAATAGCAAGAAAAAAAAAGATATTAAAAAAAGTATACAGTGTAACAGTTGCCATAGAGATGATTCCATTTTTTTGTTATAGGACCCAAACTTACTTCTGATTCATGTCATTACTACATCACAAGTCTAAATGATTCATTTAAAGCAAGATTGCAAAGTTTTTAAAGTGCAACGAATGTAATTTAAGTTTCCCTCTTTTTTCATGCTGACACATTAATAAATGTAAAGCTTTTCTCAGGCAGGACCCCCCACTCCTCCAGTTAATGCAGATGCCTCATTTTACCAGTCACCTAAGGGAATAATGAAATTTACACTCATCAGAAGCTAAACTATTCTGCTCTGCACTTAAGGAGTAACTGTCAGAGATTTCTTTTTAAAGCATAACTTACCTTTGAGTGAATTTACCTGAAGCACACCAACAACATAATGCCATAGAAAACCAACCCAGAATCCAATAGTGCAGCTTTGCAGGCTTCATTTTGTTAATCAAATAGCTGTAAAAAGGTGTTAAAAGAAGAAATCTGTTACTTATCCAATGCACTAAATTGCAAGCGTTAAAATGCAGAAAAACACAACTATCTCAGAAACAGCAAGTAATATCAACTCTAGACTAGATTTACAACCATGGCTAAAATGAGGATCTCTTTCAAGGCTGTGTCTGATTCCACAGGTTGTATGCTAATTTTCATAAACTAATGGCATCAAGGATGAGATCACGGTTTCCTTTTTTTTTTTTTTCTTTATTTGCATACAGTCCCAACAGACCCACTTTCCAATAGAGATACATAAATCTATGCAACCTGACTTTATGTAAGACTCTACTTGCGGTCAGCTGAAATGCCCCAAGTGATTCATTAAAGAAACTTTGAACTTAACATTGAATATTCATGTTGGATTGACCAAGGCTGATATTAGAAACTCAGTGGAAGTGAAGTATGATGTCCAAGGATGAAATTCTCTCTAAATGCCAGTCAACTACTATACTGATGTTAAAAAAATTGCTGTTCTTGTTATAAACTTGAGACAGCCTCTGTGAAACCAGGCACAATCTGCCTACTACCTCATGAACCATGGAAATGAGGGCAGAAAAAAAAAAAAAACCCCAAATCAACTTAACTTTCACCAACAGAAGGACTTTCACTTGGCACAGGTCAAAAAACCCCAGCTGCCTCCTGTATCCGCCAGTCATTTCACAGCATTTCAGATGCTACCTCCTAGATGCCAGAAATAGATGTACATGCATGTATTTACATGCAATTATTAACGCCTCACCAAACCTACTTCTCCACTTTCTCATTTTGAGAACCCTAAAAAAAGCACTACAAAATACTACATGTAACCTATGTGCGCCTTCTAAGATCGCTCACTACACAAGTCATATCCTTTTTTCTATGAAGGTTTTAAAACTAATCCTTTCTTATAACAATCAAATAAAGCTTGTTTTGACACCAGTAAAGACATTGCCGATTCAGCCATTAAGGCTAACATTAGGAAATTCAGTGTAATTCTGATCCACAGCTCATTATAAACAAGAGTCCATTTTCCCACCATTATGGTGCGGCCCTGGAACCAGCCTGCAGCCCACCCCCAAAGCGCTACCCCACAGTTCTGATGTACGGAAGAGGCAGCCTCCCAGCTTGCAAAATGTGTCGAGATTTCAAAACTGTCCAAGGGCTTAGGCAACAACTGTAACAGTTAACCAGCTAGATTTATCACTAGGCTTTGCTAAATTGTGAAGAAACTACACCCTTTAAGATACTAATCTATTTCATATGTTAATGTCTCTAATTTGTAATTGGTGTATTATCAAGGTAAACGGCTTGGCCTAATAGAAGATATTACTAGATAAATATTAGTTGGCAACTGTTAATTTTCTGATCTAGTTTCTTAAGAAACGCCTGACGGATTTTCACTCACCAGGCAAGATGAGCAAAAAAAGATTCAAATAATTTGGAGTGTGCTACTTGTATACAAAACAGTCAACAATGTAGAACTGATCTTTATCAAGAGCTAGCTAAAGCAAGATGTATACCTTGTATTAAAGAAATTGATATATTCACATAATGTGCCAAAAAATCACAAGTAATTAACTTAATTTAGTAATTAAGTAATTAACTGCAGGGTATGCAATTTCCCCAAGACTTTAAAGACATTTAAAGTGATTTCAAGTCTCACTCATCACTTGAGCAGTAGCAATTAATGATGCGAGATTCAGACCTTATAGACCTGTTTACGCTTTCATCTACTGTTATTTTCAAATCATAACCAACCAAGCAAGAGTTTATTTTTCTGCATGATAAACTATCTACCCATGATAAAACACTGAGAGATGTAAGGAGTCCTCATGTAAGATTCTGCCCTACCTATAAAAAGCACACTTCTTCAGAGAGCAGAAAGTACCAGTTAAAAGACAATAATGTTACACACCATCACCAAAAAAGGCTGCACTATACAAGGTGCGGAAAAAACTTCTTAAGGAAGCAGATTATGGAAACAAAATAAGCCAGCAACCCTTATGGCATTTCTTCTGCAAACTGGTATGACTTAAGATGGCAGGCACAAAGAAACATTATTTTCCAGTGACTAAGCTGTAAAAAAGCATAAAGGCAATTATCTTCCTTTCTCATTGGACTCTTACATTTGACCAAATAATGACCAGAAACAGAGCGGGGGGGCTTCAAAAACCGCTGCTATCAGAACAGTGGAATGTACTGATTTATTCTGCATATTGGTCTGTACCCTGGAACCAGAACACAGGGACGACAGAGACAGCGACCAGACCTGAAAGCCTCCGATCTGTAACTTTTAAATAACAAATTACATTTTTTCCACTGATAAACAATACATAAACTCTCTCTAAGGTTTCAGCTTGGAATACAATATTGCAGCTATCATGACAGACTGAGTGATTTACTCAAACTGACCTTTTATTCATCTGTGACATTGATGGCGGGAGGCGACCAGGGCGTCAATCTCACCTGAAAAGCACCCAAATGATGCACATTTGAGGAAATGCACATCCAAATTAAAACTGTATTAACAACTAAGATGTTTGAAGCACATCCAATTTTAATAAAAACTGCTTCTTCGGCACTGACACAGCAAGCTTTTTAGCAGAACTTTCTCACTACTTCTCTCACAAAGTACAATTCAAAGCAGAACTTGTGCAGCAGTGGCTTTCGGGAGAGGCCGGCAGGAGCTTGGTGCTGCGCCTGGCCCTTCCTGGGGAAGTCTTGAGCAAGGCGGCACCTTGCTTTCCTTACACAGAAACTAACGCACGGCTCTACTTTTAGCCCCGTGTTGTAAGATTTAACTTCCTGACACCATAAAGCGCTTGCTGCAGATAAACAAATCATCACATTTTATTACAAAGGTATTTTTTATAAATCGCAAAGAATGCAGCAGAGCAGAGAACACCTGCGACAGAAGGATGCCAAAGCTGACAAGCGTACAAAGGAGAACTATGCAAACAGAGTTTTCCCAACTCTGGGAAATGCTGCAATTTCTTTGGCTGACTTTCGATTTGCTTCACGGGAAACTTAAGGCATAAGAAACGAAACCTGATACGGTTTGAGCCCTTACCAGTCCTGCAAATGCCACCTAACCTCGTCAGTAATCTCACGGGAGGCAACGGGCAAAAAAGCCTCACAGGACTACCTCGGGCAGGCCGAGCGCTCCCTGCCTCCTGCTGCCATCGCAGCGCGGCCACACGCGGGCCAAGAGGCGGGGAGCGGGAGCAGCAGGGACGCCGGAGCGGGGAGGCTTTCGGACCTGACCTCCGCTGCCTCAGACCCGGCACCTCACCTCAGCACCCCGCTGCTTGGCCCTGCCCGGGACCCGCCGGCCCGCGTTACCTTCCGCCTGCTCCTCCCGCCCGGCCCCTCAGGAGCTCTCCCGCGGCCCGGGCCCAAGTCACGGCGGACGGACGGGGCTCCCGGCAGGGCTGACCTCGCACAGCCCCCGCCTGGGAGGAGGACTGCGGGCGGGAAGGAGGGAGGGACGGACGGACGGACGGACGGACGGGGCCGCCTCCCACTGCCCCGCGGG